CCACAGTTGTTTAGTGAATCGCTGCAGTTATTTATTAATAACTGGCTCCCCCCCTCACTTGGCTTCTCAGAAGGTTCAATCAATCAGAGCCGGGAGGGACCTTGGAGGTCTTCTAGTCCAACCCCCCTGATCAAGCAGGAGACCCTATATACCATTTCAGACAGGTGACAGTCCAGTCTTTTGACCACAGGACACTGCAACCGTCATAAATATGAGCCCGTTGCCAAGCACCTGAATTTTGCTAGCGTGACCGTGCAGATGCTGCAGTGTGAAAACCAGTCATGGCTCACTTTTTTCAGTGCCGTTGTAGCTTCAAATGGTCATTAAATGGACTCTTGTAAGTCGAAGACTATCTGTATGGTTTCAACGTGGGCTGGCCAGTCATTTTGATTTTGAGGATCCCTGAGGTGGACTTTGGACCACACTTTAAGAAATGCTGTTTTGGGTGATATTTTCCTGGCTTCTGATACAAGGGTCTTCAAACTTGGCAAATTTAAGACTTGTGGGCTTCCACTGCCAGAATTCCTGAGCTAACATGACTGGAGGAGGAATTCTGGGAGTGGAAGTCCACAAGTCTTAAAGCTGTCAAGTTTGAAGACCTCTGCTCTAACAGGTTGTCTTGAAGACACATCTGGGGCTTTCTTTCAGAAATCTCTTTCTCCAATGATCTATCAGGGAGAATCTATCTTCCTTCAGCTTTCCAGGTCCAGAGAGTTTCCTGGGAGGCCACTTTCACCATGCTAGAAACTGAATAGTTGTCATAAGATACGTAAAAGGGGGTATTCTAACTGCTGAGGTTTTTATTTACAAAAATAAAAAGGATTCAACTCCAGCAACTGCTTCTCTGCCTGCCTCCCATCATCCTCCAGTGAACTCTTAGGGAACACCTTGACACCTGCTGTAGATCACTACAAAGTCTGTCTCAATCAGCTAAAGAATGCCACTGGGACAATAATGGATAGTAACAGGAGACATCTTGGGTTTTTTTCCTGGTTGGTAATTACTTCATGCTGCTTCAGAATATTAATAGAATCAAAAACGTGCAACAGTTGAAAAAAAAATTAAAGCCTTTGTTGACTTGGGAATTATGCTTCTGACACTGCCTCCAGGGCTTTTTCTTGCTAACGTATTTATTTAGGGCTGTCCCATTAATTATTTCTACTGTTGGCTTTTTGATTTTTGATTTTTTTTTAGGCTTCCCTTAACAAAATTACTTTGTTGGGCACGGATCAAAAGGACGATGCCTTGAATGTTCATACAGTTCACGATAACGTGATGTGTTTCCAAACAGCAGCATAAAAATTACATTTGTTGAGGCATCTTCAGAACTTTTAGCAGATTAGGCTTCCTTATTTATACTGCAAGCCCCTCCTCTGCAGGGATTGTCTTTCTCAAAGTTGGGATTTAAGCATAGTATTAATGATTCCTCCTTCGTAAGTGTGAAAAACAGTCATAACAGTCATTTTTTTCAGTGCTGTTGTGACTAAAGGGTCAGTAAATGAAACTCTTGTAAGTCAAGGATCACCTGTAACCCAAAATCTGCTTCTTAATTCTAAAACGTGTTTCTTTTCAATAATGCGTGCCACTCCAGGATGGAAAAATATATCCTTCAATCAGGAAAGATTTAAAAACGCCACAGAAATACTACTGCTGTCCAATTGAAGGTTGTCCTAGGGGACCCGAAAGGCCATTTTCACAGTTTTCTCTCGTAAGGCAGGTATGAAACATAACTACATTATTTAAAGATAAATTAATGGAAATTACAATGGGTGGAATGTCATCTCAAAAAGTTATGCATTTTTTCTGAATTAGTTTTTATGTGAAAGCATTATATTCATATGTATAACAAATCTGCATGCCAATGCAAGATCTAATTGTAAATTAAGGGCTTACTGTGGGATTAACATGAAATAAGAGAACTTTCTCAACTGAGGCATCTTTTAAAATCTAAACTTACAGGGTGGCAGTGAGGGAACTTTGTGTTAAATAAGTTACAAATTTTTCTTTGTTTTCCTGAACCTAAATAATGCAAGTAGAATTTTGTTCTTCTGTTTTAATTATCTTGTGGCATTTAAGTAAAACTGTTAAATCCTAAAGTATCTGTCCTGCATCATTCAAAATGAACACTGAATTAGAGTTATCTATAGTAAACAAGTACGCCTGTTAGGAAATAGGCCTAATCAAAGTTGGGGCATCTGATTGGTAAACTCTACTTTTAGTCCCCAACACCTCCAGGTAGGGTTTAGAAAGATTTCAGTCTAAAACTGAAAAAAGTCAAATAGTTTGAGAATGCTAAAAAAATGATGTGACTGATAATCTCATTGGTTCTAAGTTGCTTCTCCACATCCCTACAATTTCTCTAACATTTGGTTGTTTCAGCACTTCATGAAAATGCATGCTGAAAAGAAGCATAAATGCGATAAATGTACCAATTCGTACGGCACTATATGGGATTTGAAACGCCATATTGCAGACTGTGGCAAGACTTTCCAGTGTACCTGTGGGTGTCCCTATGCTAGTAGGACAGCATTGTTATCTCATATTTATCGGACACAACATGAGATCCCGGTTGAACACAGGTATGGCAATATTTTCCAAATATCTCCTTCACGTGTACATATTAATTTGAAGGGGTTAGAAGTTAGGGGAGAGTTTTGGTGTTGATAACAGCCAGCAAGGGCTCCTCTTCTCTGCTCTTGGTTTCATTATTGCTCATAACTGTGTATTTTTCTTGGTTTTACATCCATGCGTCCCTTATCAGATAGGCTGCCACCAGCAAAATATTTAAATTTTCTAATGCTCACAATGCTGTGTGTTGTTCTCCTATGTCCTAGAAGTGCAAATGCGGCCATTGCTTTATTTCATCCAAATAGTTAGCAGCGTGGGCTTTTGAACGTTGCATGAATGAGAACATGGGGTTGAAGAGCACAGCACAAACATTGTATTACATTAATGTTCCTGGTCTGCAGTTCATTTCTTAAATGATGAGTATGTAATGGCCCAGAGTCATTGGATATGAGATGGGTAGTAAAAAAAGGTCATAACCAAAGACAGAAATAAAATTGAATGAATAAAATGCCGTGTTTATTCATTCAATTATTGAGTCACATTTTTGAGTAGGATGAATTGCATTATTTCTCTGCCAATCAGCATGAACAAAAGGATGAGTTGGTGCTTTCTCCATTGCATAATGCTTAATCTCAACCCCTTCCCATTTCGTTTTAGAGATAAGAGTCATGAGTTGGCAATGATTTTTATAATGGAAACCTTTCGTGCTTCTGTTCTTTGTCAGTGTGCTTTAACCTCAGGCAGTGATTGTCATGGTATGTGGAAAGGAATTCAGGAGGCAGCCAGAAAGATGAAATTTAGCTATAAAAGGAATGTGGCCGTGGCAAATAGAAAGAAATCCTCCTGGTTTCTTAAACTGTGAATGTGATGGGGGGGAAAGGTACAGGTAGTCCTCAACTTACAACCATTCATTTAGTGACTGAAGTTACAACAGCCCTGAAAAAAGTGACTGACAACCGTTTTTCATATTTATGACTGTTGCAGCATCCCCATGGTCACACAACCAAAATTCAACTACTTCGCAACTGGCTCATATTTATAATGGTTGCAGTGTCCTGGCAACATGATTACCTTCAGACACCTTCGGACAAGCAAAGTCAATGAAGCCAGATTCACTTAACAACCGTGTTTCTAACTTAACAACTGCAGCGATCCACTTAAACTGCTGTGACATGAAAGGTCGTAAAATGGGGCAAAACTAACTTAACAACTGTCTCACTTAGCAACATAAAATTTTAGTTCAGTTGAGGTAAGTGGAGAACTGCCTGTACTTTCGGACTTGCAAGATTGATGTCAACCTTGTGAGATAATCTAGACAGGAAACATACCCAGATGAACCTCTTATACTTCATTGTAAGGTTACATTAACAGAATCTGGCACGTCTGAAAGTTCATTTCTCCCCTGTCACCAACCAAGAAACTAAGGAGGATCCTTTCTGAGACGTCCCTGTGACTGTGGCTTTTCTCTCTGTGTCCTAAGTTCATTCCGCATACTATTAAAGCAATGGACTATATCAGTGGTGGCTAACCTTTTTGGGCTCCTGTGCCAAAAATTGCCAGTGCGCCCGCACTCGTGTGCCAGCATCCAGAATGCAATGCATGCGCTCCCTCCCCATGCGCATTCGTGCGCCCCCCCCCCCCCTTACCTTCACTGCACCTCACAGCTGATTTTTCTGTTGCTTTGAGGCCTTTTTCGACTTCCCAGAGGCTTGGAAAAAGTCTCTGCAAGGCTTCTCAGCCCGAATTATAGGCCTGTTTCGTCACTTCCGGTATTACAGGAAGTGATGAAACAGGCCTATAATTAGGCCTGAGAAGACTTTCAGAGACTTTTTCCAAGACTCTGGGAAGTTGAAAAAGGCCTCAAACCAACCAGGAAAAAAATAATCAGCTGTGAGGCGTGTGCCTGCGCAGTGAGGTAAGTTTGCCTGCGGCTCGCGTGCCAGCACAAATGGCTCTACGTGTCACTTGTAGCACGCGTGCCATAGGTTTGTCATCACGGGACTATATCCTTCATTTTCCTGAAGTTTTTTTCTCGAATTGGGAGCAGTGGGGAGACTGTGCTGCCACATTTCTAATGATTTATTAATGTTTACAGGGATCCGCCTAGCAAGAAAAGGAAAACCGAAATTTCCCTGTCTACCTGCCCACTGGAAGAAAAAACAACGGACAGGACGTCCGCCAACATCCACAGCAGTTGTGCCAGCGCTGAGGATTTGGAGGCCTCTGAGATCATGTCGACCGCTTCCTCTGAAGATCCCAGCCACTTTTATTGTGTTCAGCCAACGCAAGCACAGCCCAAAAATGCCCCAAAGTTTCTCTTGCCTAAGCCGAAAGTGGGTTTGGTTAAGCTCCCTGTCATGCAGCTGACTCAGTTGCCTATCTTGGTGCCAGCGCCGAACTCTTCTGTGAAGCCCTTTGTGGTGACTGTGGATGAGAAGGGTTCTGTGATGAGTACTGTTCACTTAATGTCTGTGCCAGTCGGAATTATGATACCCGCCGTGGAGACTGAAGCCCTTGCATTGAAACCCCCACCAGCCCTTTCCAGAACCAAAACTGCCAATGGTACTAAGCCAGTGAGTACAGGCATCCAGGTGAATTTAGGCAAAGCCGCCCCCCATAATCCAGTCCAGGATCTAGAAGCTCTGTGCTATAAAAACGGAATCAGTTCCACCAATGTTCAAACTGACCTGTCTTACTTTTCCCAGAACTTTGTGCCTTCTGCAGCTTGGCCTCCCGATTCCTCGGTGTCCTCTTTTTCTCAGACAGACCTGACTTTCAGCTCCCAGGCGTTGCTTCCGGTTAGCGTAGAGACACAAACCCTGTTGCCCAGCTCCAAGCTGACTTCCTCCATAGCTGCTCAGACTGATGTGCTCGCTCAAGCTTGCTTTCAACCCTGCGGGATTTCTCGGGAGACTCAGACCAGCAAGTCACAAAAAGGTCTCGACGGGAACGTGCACATGGACCAGGCTGTCACATGCGGCAGTCTTTTCAACAGCGTCCATTCCTCGTTTCCCGATTCCAACCCCATGACTCCTCCTGGTGGTCCCTTGATGGCAACCAACCTGGATCAGAATATGCTACCTCAAGGAAACTGCAAAACTTTGAGCCCGGATCCAAAGTGTGAGCATTCAATGATCAGCTTCAACTCACCAACAAACAGTATTCTTCCCCAGCAAATGATGACAGACAATCAGACGCAAACCATGGAGCTACTGAATGACCTGGAAACCATTTTTTCAAATAACTCCACGGGCCACCCTGGCCTTCCCTTAAGCACCGTCTCTACCCAGAACGCTGGAATAGATTTTGACATTGAGGAATTCTTTACGGCCTCCAATATCCAAACTCAAACCGAAGAGGCCGAATTGGGCAACTTGAACTCCGTACCGGCCTTGGAGTCCTTAGACATTGAAACCCAGACAGATTTATTTTCAGACCACGCTTCCCAATCCTATACCTCTCGAGGCAATTCTAATTTCTTAGGCTTAGAAATGTTCGATACACAGACCCAGACAGACTTAAATTTCTTCCTGGACACTCCCTACCTGCCTCTGGGGAACATTTTGAAGCCCTCTGCTTTTCTGGTGAGTGCAGACTCTTCCAACACAGAAACCCAGACAGAAATGAGGTGTCCTGACAGCGTGATCTCCGATCATATGTCAGACAGCAAAGTCCAGCTGAACAGTGCTGAGACACAGACCATAGACAGCTGTCTTGATACTCTGGGCAGTTTATTTCTCACCAGCAACGAGACTCAGACCGTTATGGATGATTTCCTTTTGGCTGACTTGGCCTGGAATACGATGGAGTCACAGTTCAGTTCCGTAGAGACCCAAACCTGTGCGGAATTGTGCTCTTTGCTTCAGGGCTCCAACAAAGCAAGCTGCTGAGTGTGCCGTTCCCACACCGTATAGCACTTTGAGGGTTAAGTGGTGGGGGGAAAGAAAACTCTGCTGGAGTTAGCTCTAGCTGAGGGTAATTGACTATAAAGCCTTGGTTTACAGATCTTGTCAGATTGCAGAGTACTTTCACTGTTGTGTATTGTGACTAATTTAAACTCTGTTGCATATGGTTACAGTTGTACGTTACATTTGGACACTATAAGCCATCTGCTGCTTGCCTCTCTGCTATCCTGAATGTATGTTCACAAATCCACAGTTCTCCGCACATCAGTTTCAATCATGTCTGCTGACTGACTTTCACACTGATGCTAAAGCTGCATTCTTTGAGAATTAACAATAGGACGTCTCTGAGTAAATATAATACCTCCAAGTTTTAACACTATAACTTTTCCTTTTTCTTGTTTTTCTGCGTAAACCGGTGTTGTCCCTGTTCAGAAGCTTATCTGTTAAGAGTCTCCAGCCTGTAAATTCAGTCTTCAGCCTATTGATCTGTTACAGTCGACCAGTTCTGCAACCGTGTCAGTTCCCATGTCATTAAATGTAATTTTCTAAGGAAAGGAGCCACAAAGTCTATGAACCAGATTTTCTTTTAACTTTTGCCTGGGTATTTTTCACTGTCAGGAAGTGAATAATAACATTGTCTTATAGGCCCTGGGCTGACAAAGATGCCATACAGTTTATGTTTGGAGTAGGTGCAGCTGACTACTAAGAAAACAATGAGTATCTTATAGCCAGATTTAAACAAAAAAAAAACCACTCCTGTGTAATCTCAATTGATATCACAGTTTTGGAGCTGAACTCAATAGTTCCAAAACTTCTACCAAGTACAGAAAATAAGCAGAGGAACAAATGCAGAAATGGAAAAGGAATCACCTAAAGACAAGCTGCAAAATTCCTTTTCAAAATGCATTTTGAATTTAACAAGTCTTCAAAGTTTCTGGTTTAAGCATAATCTTCTGGGTTGTCCAAGATTGTTTCTTGTTCACCCTTATTTCTGCTGGATGTAATTGTTTCCACTGTTTAGAAATCTGCACACTGTTTCTAGAGACAGATATGCCAGCTAATATTAAAATAGCTGCTTCCAGAACACTGATTTAAGACAATTGTTTAGAAAGCCAAGAACAGGTTTACAGTTCAACCAAGTCATTTGGTACATCTACAGATACTGCAGGAGGACAGTCTATCAAAGACCAGGTGACTTACAGTCATCTTTATCAAAGATCTCAATATTGGAGTACATTGGTGAGGGTGAGTAAATTTTTTGGTTTTTCTGTTGGGCACTGGATTCTTTGAGCACCATTGTAGTTTTCCAGAAGCCGAAAGGGTATGGTTTTATTGATTCTAGCTCTTCCAATAATTAGGCAACATGAAAAGAACTGCTTAGTGTGTTTCCGTTGGGAGTCTGCACAAAGTTTAGTTTAGGATCAAGATTTTATTAAAGAGAAATATTTCATTAAATTTCTTAAGGCCTTATTCTCTCTAATGTTTCCGTAGTTAATAAGATTGCTTATCTTTTTGACAGTCTGCCTTGGAAGAGGGTTCTTGGCTGTTGAATTGCTTATCTAATTGTTTAAGGTAAAAGAATGGCAGCTTGGTAAATAGCCAGTGTACTTTAATTTAGAACTCTGTGGCTCACCCTCCAAAGGATGTTTTACATGTGGTGGGAAATGAAGGATTCAGATGAGACATAGATTTTGTCAAAATGCCTCAGTGACGGCATCAGTCTGTAAACACTGTCTATTTGTGTGTGTACACATAGTATGCCATACAAGTTGCTTTTATCAAAGAGTAATTGCCTACACAAGGAAGTGTCGGTATAGTTTCGTATTTCACAAGGAAGAAGCATCTATGTTTTTACTGTAGATTTGGGTGAACATTTAGGGTGTACAAGAACATTTCTAAACAAGGCCTACAAGCCAGTGCAGTCTGCTTACAGAAGTATATAGCCCAGTAGCTAGAATTCAAAATGCAGTGCCCTTGCTGTGCATTTGATAGAAGTCCTCACAGCCTCCCTGGATCTGCCTAACGCGTCTGTGTTTCAATATAGCCAAAAGTTTATGCATTCATCTAAGTGCATTAACAAAGGTTTTGCTCAAATAGCTATCCTGTTATTTAAAAGTAGCAGCACCGATTCAGTGGAAGTCATTTTGATGTATAAGCTGTTCCTTCATGGTGGTTTTAAGGAACTATTTATAGAAATAAACTTTTTTTTTTCTGGTACTGACCAAGGTTATTGCCTTCTGTGCCCTCGTGGATCCTTTCCAACTGCTGTGTCAATCAACCCATGTGTTTATCCTTAAAGTTGGGGGAAAGGGAAAGTTTCATTCTTATGTGTTCATTGCGCTAGACTTGAAATCTGTGTCTGTATAGTTTTTATTAGCTGTTGCTTTTAGCCCTGCTGGTTAGAACTGAAGGGAGTTGAGTAAGCTTTGGAGATCATACATTATCAATATAGGTACCTCTTATATAAGGGTACTAGGAAGAGCTGCTGAGTTTGTTCCAAAAATGGATCTCTTCCATCACTTTACATAGCTCAAATAGGGGATATCTTATGCAAGAACATCATCCTAACGTGTGACTAATAAGAGTTTATCGAGGAGAGTTTGGTATCTTAACTTCTGTTTCAGCCTTTAATTTTGTAGTTGTGGGATCATTTCTAGCCATCTGCCGGTGAGAAATATCCAGATTTTTTTTAAAAAAATCATGATGGCGGTATAGGCATTTAGTAAAATCCAGGCATTATTAACTTAATGGCTTAATGGTATATTATCAGGATAGTTTTAGAAAGATAAATGTCTGCAACTACAAGTCACTTGTCCTAAAGTTTTGATATCACAGGTAATTCTCCCTTTTTCTGAGCTGTTTTTCAATCAAACTACCAAGCCCTTAAAAGAAAACAATTTGCATTCAATATATTGTTGACAAAAACAAGCTACATCTGTCTCTTCAATATTGTTTGAAATGCCTATTGATGATTATATTAATCCTAGTTACAATTTTGAGATAAAAGGTGTATTTCTTTCCTATTGATATACCCGTATTACAATGGTTTTGTTTGCACACTTGGTTCAATACACATACATTCCATGTAATACACACCTTTTATCAGTTCCTAAATTTAAATTTGAAAGGATCTAGTCCTGTTTCAATGCAGCATCAGAATGAATGAGGGCCAAAACTTTAATTTCACCTTTAGACATTAAAGCATGAATGCAGTCCTACAAGTTGCTCATTAAACATGAATGCAGTCTTACAAGTTGCTCTCCACATAAGACCATAACAAATAACAGTTGCAAGCAACTACATGTGAAATATTTGCCTGAGAAATTTTGGTGCTTCCTTTCTCACAGGAAGGGTGTCTACATGTTCCTTTGCCAGAGGACTGTCTCATATGTTTTAAGCATCTGAAGACATATACTCCACAGTTATATTTAAAACATTGCAGGGCAAGAGATGGATAAAAGATAGGAGGTGAAGATAATGCCTCTGCCACGATTGAAAGTTGGGGAAAGCAGTTTTTGGAAAGAGTTGGAGAAGTGAAGTGAACAAGGAATAAAAACCAGCATCCTAACTGGTAGAAAGTAACTTTACATAATATTTCAGCGTGAGAAAAACAATGCTGTGGTATTGTTCAGAGGAGTCCTTTGAAAGAAATCATTTGAAAGAGAGAAGCAACCTGGAATTAAAGAGAAACTTCATAACAGTGAGGACAATTAGCCAGTAGAATAGCTTGCCTCCAGAAATTGTGGGCGCTCCATCACTGGAGGTTTTTAAGAAGAGACTGGACAGTCACTTGTCCAAGATTGTATAGGTTCTCCTGCTTAAGTAGGGGCTGGACTAGAAGACCTCCAAGGTTCCTTCCAACTCTATTCTAATTCTAAATTACTGCAAGATGTAGGATGAAATTCATTACTGATGTGTCCATTCTGAAAGGGCCAATGGGGTCTTTTCGTTGGTTTGAAAAGTTGCCAGAAGAGATTTATTATCATTTATTTATTTGTTTATTTATTAATTAAATGTTTATGCCGTCCATCTCTCCTACAAAGTGACTCCGGGTGTTTCCCAAGTTATAAAAGAGGTAAAATAAAATTAAAACATTAGAGCTACACAAATTAAAATGTTATTAAAAACTGTAAGAAAACCACAACTGAAAGAGTTAAGAGATGGACGAGACAGGAATGAGGTCGTCTTACCCCATCTGCCTCCACCAGTAAGTAAGCCAGTTGTAAGGATCAGCTATAGCCTCTGTTTTGATTCTGAACTGACCTGTAAGGCATATTCAATTGAACCTCCTCCTTTAGTCCTCTGGTTTTATGAAAATTGACTAGGATGAGAGTCTGAATAAGCAGATTGAGCTCTGGAGGAAGTAGTGCGGAGGCTTTGCTGATGTTCACGTCTGAATGCATCTCTATACAAGCACCGTCAATTTAGAAAGCTGGTTTGTTGGAAAACGAGTTTAACAACTAGCTTTCCATAGACAGGGAGTTATTTAGAGGGCGGAAGATTTACACACTGGGAGCACCCCTCTGGAATCTGAAATTACAGTCTAATCAGACACCCTGTTGTGCAATGCCTGTGAACTGTGCATTCCCGTCCATTGTTAATTGCCTGAGAAATGATGGATCTACCAGGTTTATTCACCAGGAAGTGGAATTTATACTATCAGCCAGTATTTATTTTTTTTGAGAGGGAGGGGCATAAGAAAACACTGGCTTCATCACACAGAAATGGAGGAAAGGAGAAGGTGATAGCAAAATTGAAAATAAAAATTGTGGCTTCTTCCTTTTATGGAGAGTTTTGAGTTTTTTTGCTGACTGTTGGTAGGAGGTTACTGCGTTTATTTATTTTATTTTCAATGCTGCTTCCTTTCTGCCAAGTTTGGGGCTCGTTTTCCTTTGGGCTTAGGAAAAAAGTTTTACTTTTCCGCTTCAACTTTGTGGTCAGTTTCCTGAAGATCAGATAGGGTTGTTAACTGTTGCAGCTGTTAAAAAATTGCACAAGCTTCTGGAACTTGGGCGGGGTTGGTACCTCAAAACAGGCACACTCACCTGAAGGCAACTAAAGATGAATTGCAAAGAGGAAACAAACATTCACACGAAGGCCTGACATTTTACTGCTTCTGGCCCAATGAACAAGTGCAGAGCTTCATCTTGACACTCTTCCCTAATTAAAAAAATTTAATCTGAACATTTGCTGTGCATTTGGAGGTCTACATGCAGTATACATTGCAAAACATTGCAAATACGTTAAGTGGCCCTTAATGAAACTGACTGAGAAGGGGGCCCACTTGTAGGTCATCAAATGCACATTTCCCCAAGAAATAAAAATGTTTCTGTCTTAACTACCAAAGTTCCTGCCTTTCTTGAAAAAGCAATTGTTATTTTCTAGTACTTGTTTTTGTTTGTTCTGTATGTTTCTATAAAAACAACAGCGCTGGAACTAAAAAGAGAAACCATGTGGGGAAGGAGAACATCTGTGCACCTGTTCACCAGTCACTTTTAAATAGTTTTGGGGGATTAAGTGCCCATCGGATTTGGGGTGGGAATGAATTCTGTGCAAATATAATAGATCAGGAGTGTCCAACCAAAGCAACTTTAAGACCCGTGGACTTCAACTCCCAGAATTTCACATCTAGCCATGCCATGGGAATTAAGAGTCATGGTGGCACAGTGGTTAGAATGAATACTGCAGGCTAATTCTGCTGACTGCCAGCTGCCAACAGTTCGGCAGTTCAATTCTTGCCAGCTCAATTCTGACTCAGCCTTCTATCCTTCCAAGGTCGGGAAAATGAGGGCCCAGATTGTTGGGGACAATATGCTGACTTGTAAACAGCTTAGAGAGGGCTGTAAAGCACTGTGGAGTGTTATATAAGTCTAAATGCTATTGCTATTCTGGGAGTTGGTCCCGAGTTCTTAAAAAAGTTGCCAAGGTTGGTCACCCCTGTAATATATATTTTAGAAGAATAATTATGGCTATATGGATGGGGATTCTCTTGTTTTACATAATCACAGTCACACTAGCATGTTTTGTTCTACTACTTTGGAATTTACGTTAGCTAGATATTTGGGGAGGTACACTCCCAATACATCTAGAACATATCACATTAAATAAGGCTATTTAAATACCACAAGGAAGTACTAACCATATAGATCAGTGGTTCCCAACCTTTTTTTCGCTCCGCACCCTTAAAGAAATTTCACTCGAACCTCGCACCCCCTGAAATAAATAATAAATAAAAATGCCAACATATAGCCAATATCCTATTATTTACCTGGACTTTTCTCGCACCCCCTGGAATATCGTCTCGCACCCCAGGTTGGGAACCCCTGATATAGATAGATAAAGATTGGAGATGTCTGTGAAAAACTATCATGTTCTTCTGTAAAAAATGTTTTTGGATTCAGGTCTTCTTTTAAATAAAAATGACCAAAATGTCACTAAGACGTTTAATGTTCTAGTTTATTTTTCAAAGATAGTGTGCACTGTAAACCAGCTTTATTTTTCTCCTTTAAACAGGAGGAAAAAACAAATGCTTGGGATATTTTACCAGTGGTACATGATCACTTGCATAAACCTTGTCCTGTATTCTTATCTATTTTTATATTGTGTTAATTATGTAATCTAGACCCAAATATTTTTATCCCATTGTATGACTTAGTGATCTATTAAGCAAAAATCATTTTAAAAAGCATCAGAAGCATTTACAAATCTGTACAGTTTAAATTACATAAATTTGTTAAATGTTTTAAATTATGATCTACAAATGTAGCATTTCAAAATCCCATTATTTCCATTTGGCAAGGCAGAAAATTACCAGGTAATAATAGTGAGGTCATGAGTGTTGCAGATATATATATATGACATTTATATAACTGCCATTGATCTGTATACTGGGAATGGAATAAATAAATCTTAAAACTTTTAATAAGCCCCAAGTGTTAGAGAAATCCCCATTGTCTTTCACAATGAGCAACGAGCAACCGAAAACAGTATGTCGAGCAATTCTTATGCCAAGGCTTCCTATTACCATAAAAAATATGTGCATGACATGTTCCAACATGCCATCTTATGGGTTTAACAGTATAACTACGATCCCAATTTTGTAAAAACACTTGAGGTTGAAAAGTTACTCTGCAATACCTGTAATGGATTATTTGTTGGACTCAAGATTTCAGAACGATAGTATATTGTAAAGTAAGTGCCCTCCCCTATTTCCCCCCCCCCCCGTACCATACCTAACTGAATTGCACAATTCTGCATCAGTTAATATAATCTGTTTAAGGTGTCCCTCCCTTGCAAAACAACTTAAATTCCACTATCAATGTAGATTTAAGAGCCTTAACAAATCTGTAGCAACGTCTGATCCTGCTATATTCCATAATTTAGTCTTGAGTTTCTTAGCATGCTATAGACATGGGAGGTTGGCTGTTTCTTGACAACATTTGGTATAATCCAAACTGAGTTACCGGATTACCCAAACTGTATCCATTGATGGTTAGCTGGAGAAAAGCTGTATGGGGGATTGTCATTGTCTGAAAGGTTTCATGATTCTTTGAAAGTCCATGCCGTGTCGCCCCTGAGGCACATTATTTCACGAACTGCTTCCATAGAGGGAGAGGCAGTGCGGTAACTCCTTGTGTTTTGAAGAATCTTAAGTTCTTAAAGGGGAACTTCTCAAGAGACATAAAAATCAGAAAAGTTCTGATGCTCAAGAATGCAAGAATGTAATGTTCTACAGCTCTTTGGATTCTCTGATTAAAATTGACCCTGGGCAACGATTATTCCTTTGCGAATGATTCTACCCATTTGTTGTGGCTAGTGGAGCTTGCAGCAGAGTCGGACAGTGGGGAGGTTGGGGAGGAACGTGGGCCAGTCCTCAAGGCTGAGGAAGCCTCGGACAAGGGCTCTGTGTCAGAGGCAGAGATGGGGCCAGGGCAGACTGGCAGTTATCAGCTGCCTTCGGGCTCGGACAGCAGTGAGGCGGGGGAGCAGCTGGAGCCGGTTCCCAGCCTGCGCATGTGCAGAGCTGCCAAAAGAAAAGAACAATTACGAATTAAGGGACGACGTGGGAGTAAAGCCACAGGTAAACAGTGAATGGGCCCTCCCACAGGGATTAAAAAAGGAGCAAAAGGGGAGGGGGCTTCTGCAGGAAACCATTCGTTTGTTCGATGCAGTAGTGTGAAGATCTGCCTGTGCATCTCAGAGACTCTGAGTCGAGTCCTTCCTTGTCAGCACTGCGTTTGGAAATACTTACTTGGCAGCTCTCCAAGCTAGATAAGGTCTGTGCTCCTAATTGCACCCTTGAAAGACTGTTTGCCAGGCCTTTGGCTGAAGGTGAATGCACGAAATTCACGTTCGTTTAATAAAAGGGGTTTTGCTGGGACAAAGAGTCTGCTTAGTGCTTTTTGGGGGAAGCCGAGGTCAGAACAGAACCTATATGGTTTAGCCAAGCAATGGCTTTGTAATTTTAGTTTCCTGTGCCGTGCAAAGAGGACAAAACACAATACTTGAGCATCATGGACAAATCAGAGAGCGGTACATGATTTCTGTATTTGCTTTTTCACCATATGATCTATATCTACTTTGTTTTGATTCTTTTCTTTGGCTTCTTTTGCAGCACAGCTGCGAGAGACGACGCGAGTTGAAGCGCCGTGCCCCTTGTCTGATCTCTTGACCGCAACTGCTTTAGGTTTAGGAGGGGGCTCCAGGTGCAGGTTGATGACCCCAGTTTCCGGCTGGAGGACTAACAGTGCGTTTAAAGTGATGCAGTCCAAGCTGCTGGCAGGGTGGCCTTGGCTCGCATTTGGCATGCTCAGGACCTCCTGTTCCGCCCGCTGAGAATACGTGATTTCATACTCCTTTATCGGCAAAGTCCTTTTCTCACCTAGGAACGTCTGAATGGAGTCTAGTTTTCCTCTTACCCTTTCTCCCTCCGGGTTGGCATTCATTGTTGGGATGTATGTGTAAGGCTTGAAGCAGGAAACCCCAGCCTTTGTGCTGCTGGCGATGGGTCCTCCTTCGGGAAATTTGCAATCCAGGCTTGGTTGTTGATTGGTTCCCCGAGACACATTTTTCTTAAGAGACTGTGACATGCTCTGGCGAGGTAGACGTGAGGTTGGTTGAGTTATTCTTGACTTCTTGGGCTGTTTTGGGGTCTTACAGCATATGAAAGGAGTAACTCTTTCCCAGCTTGGTTCCTAGTGGGGGAAGGAAAAAGATGGAGCCTTCTTTTTATTAGTGCAAAGAACCTTTGTGGCTATACCAAAACTATGACTTTTCTAGACCTCAGTTTGGTGAATTTGGGTAAACTTTAGATTGGAGACATTTTCAACCTTTGACACAGTGTCTTAAGACACTTCCCCCGTGCCACAAAGATTTTACTTGATTTATTGCAACCTCTTCTGTTAAACTGACGCTTTCTATTAAGTTAATGGATCTCAAGGAACTGGGACATTAATAAGGATCTCTTAGTGCGCACCCAAAATTAAGTACGCTAAGAAAGGCCTTACGTGAGTCATTTGGGTGGTCAACAGTGCATTTAAAATATATCTTTTTGTGTACAAGGATTTTCTCACCTTCTGAAAACTGTGTTCCAGACCTTACTACAAATTTATATGGACATTTCATAATTTAGTGCTGGTCTGTTTATTTACATCAAATACTGAAACCTGTTTGTTTCTTTTTTTCCCTCTACTTAGCGTGGGAAGTTGTCAGGGAAAACAAGTGCTCCTCTTTACATAACTGGTTTCCATCCACGGTAGTTTCAAATTTGTTAATATATCTAAAGAAGAACCCTGAATTTTGCTATTCTGCATACTTCAGGTTTTCCCCCTTTTTGCATGCCTACAGATTCCTTAAAAAAACAGCCAATAGAAACTCATTTGCTATATTAGAAGTCATGATGGCACAGTGGTTAGACTGCAGTATTGCAGGCTAACTCTGCCCACAACGTGGCGTTTGATCCTGACAGGGCTCAGGGTTGACTCAGCCTTCCATCCTTCTGAAGTCCCAGATTGTTGGGGGCAATAAGCTGACTCTGTAAACCATTTAAAGAGGGCTATAAAAATCTATGAAGTGGTATATAAATCTAAGTGCTATTGCTGTGTAAAAAAACTAGTTAATTTTAGCAGAATTAAAAACTTCGTGTGTGTGTGAGAGAGAGAAGGCTAAAAGTAAAATGTTTGCTATGTACTATGTATGTAGATTTTAAATATTTTATTTTAAAACCTAATTAGTTCTGTAGTAACATAAATTGTAACAGTTCTTTTTGGAGAGCAGAAAAAGATTAATTGGGGTTTCAATTGAACAATGTTTGTTTGTTTATTCCATTCAACAATTATGTCAACAATCATTCTCAGAAGCTACATGAAGAAGTCCCTGCAGTTTTTCTTGGCAAGGTTTTTCAGAAGTGATTGCCCATTGCCTCTTTCCTAGGGCTGAGAGGAAGTGATTGGCCAAATCTCACTTACTAGATCTCATGTTCTCCCAGTTTCTAGCCTGATGCCTTAACCACTATACAGTAAACTGGCTCTCAAACAGTGTTAAATACCTATAGTTCCCACTAACCCCAAAGTCATAGTAGATGTGTGTTTAGTTAGGAACAAGTCAAACTGAGTGAAGTTTTACAGCAAACAAGACAGTAGAAAACTATCATCTTAAATCTCTCCCAAAGAAATGGGACATCTAAGCTAATCCTAAACATGCTTTTATCTAAGACTAAGTTCCACTTTAAATATTCTTTTTGTCAGATCCTTAATGATATTTTTTTACTTTTGATAAAAACAAACTATAAACTGTTAAGCATGGTTCCCTGATTTGACTTTATTATATGTGTTAAACAAAACCATTTTTTTTTTCTTTTTCTGGACATCAGCTCCTATTTTATTTTTCTTATCCATTATATCAGTTCAGTTATAATTTCTGATCTTCCACACCTCCAAAATTGATAGTGATGCCATTCTCATACCCACTGTAATGAATATAAACTTCATTTGTAAGTATAGATTATCTCACTCTTGGGATTGTTATGGCCTGTTTTGTAATAAACAAGGGACAGGCCTGGATTTTCCTAGTCTGATGTAAGATCTTACTGTTCGTGGAGATAAATAGGAAGCGTTGCAGCAGTTCCTAGAATATTTGACACATTTTATCAACCAAGCCTGCATGTTTTCTATATTTTCTTGGGATATAACCACACAACTAACTTCATATTATTTGGATATAAGCCCTCCAAGTGGATGTTTCCAGGAATATATTTCTTTGAAACCAAGAAAAGGACTTTCTTGGCAAAATCTATCTAAGAATTACTTGGAAGGCTTTCTGACAACTGACTGAATGTAAACAGATTCACCAAATCAAGATTTTAGATTGAAATTAGAGTCTCTTGCAATTTGATGCTCAGAACTGTTGCTACCTTCCTCTTATTCAAACTACATCAGGTAACGTGTAAGACAATTATGGTAGCTGTTGACAGGAAAATATCTTGAACTGAAATACCGAGGAACATGCTGTCAGAATGCATTCAGAAAAAGAATTTATTGAAGTTATCTAGACAGCAAAACAAAGGTGTAAGATATCTAATTTGGCACGGTAAGAAAAGTCCTAAACAATATGGAAGTCAAAATTACATACAAACTAAAAAAAAAAGACAAAAACCCCAAACAAGTAAATATTTTCTTTGCACACTGACTTATCTATAAATTGTTTAAACATTTAAAATCAAAAGGCAAGTTCACAACTAAATTCTTAACAGCATCTAAAAATGGCTTAAATGAGAACGAGAGGGCATTTGTTCTACCTTCGGTGAAGGACGGTCCACATTGTGACCTACCAAGATGAACAGAGCTCATAAAGTACATCTGGTTAAATGTACAAACTGCATTTGTCCCCAGAGTATCTTTTAAGCATGCAACTTTAAAACAAGGCAAGATTTGAGTCAAAGACTTTGAAAGGAGAGACCAAGCTATATGATCTTGTTCTTCCTGCAATGGTCCTCCCCACATATATGACCTAATGACTACAGTATAATCTGAATCATTTTATAGTTGCACATGAGAGATTGGCGGGTATCCCCCAGTGAGCTAGGTAAGTACACTTTTAACCATGACAAAAATATTGCCATAAGCTGTCTCCTGAAAGCAAAGCACTTCAAGGCTTTTTAAAAAGCAGGAGCCATCCAACCTTGCCACATTTAAGATCTGTGGACTTCCAACTCCCAGAAGTTTCCCCCGTCGGCCATGCAGGCTGGGGAATTCGGGAAGTTGAAGTCCACGATCTTAAATTTGCCAAGATTGGACACCCCGGCTTAAGAATCAGTAACTTTTAACAACACACATTTGAAGTGCCACGGAAATCATTGTTTTAGAGTAACTGACCAGCAACCAGTTAATTTTTCTACAGAAGTAAGGACAGGTTGCCTCTGAACATGGATGATAATAATAACAATCCAGTCTCCTTAATGGGGAACCTTCAGTATGTGTTCTCACACAGAGCGAGCCAACCAAATCTATTAACATCTCAACACTAAGTTACAGTTTAAGAAGTCAGGTCAGCCTAGAAGGCAGTGCTGTTAATCCAATCCGGCTGACCGTTAAGGAAGAGAACAATCCAGAAAGCAGTGGGATGTCCTGAGATTTAGCCTGGCTTCCTTCCTGTTTGCCTCCATTGTAACTCCTCCTAATTTCATTGGCTTTGCTGGCGTGGCTTCCTTTTGCATGCAGGGAATGGCTGCTGTGGAGATGCCCGTGTCTTCTCAGCTGCACCGAACTGCTCAAGGTTAAACTTTTCCTATCTGGCAAAAAGTGCCAGTAGCCCCGATCCAAATGCCTGGAGAGGAGCGAAGTCTTGGAAAGCCTTGGGACAAAAGCGGAGGCTATCTCGTGCATTTTTAGCTGCTCCTTCACCACCGCATCGTACATGGCGTCTATCGTCGGCTCGCACTTGAGCTGCTTGGGTTTTAAAAACTGAGGGCAGGAAACCGTCTCTGCAAAAGCATGGAAGGTTTTCTCACTGGCCTGGGAATTGACTACCTTACTTTTCTTTGCGGAGTTATCCAGGCTGTGTTTGAGCGCTGTGTCCTTCAAGGGTGGCAGGACCAAGGATGACTTAGCAGTGATCTCAGTGCCAGACCGATTCCACAGAAGAGGCTCGTGGCTCCTTATCTCTTTGGTCTTGACAGTTGCTAAACTTTGGGGCTTTCCCGGTGACAGGATGTTATATTCCTTGATCGGCACCGGTTTCTTTTCCGCTGGGAACAGCAGATTCTCTTTTAGGAGAAATAACTTTTTTTCACTCAGGGAAGCTTGGGCTTCTCTTAAGGCCATTCTTTTCTTTTCTCCTTGGGACATTTCAATAGAGTGCAATTTGCTATAATCCGTTTCTCTCTTCGGCTCGTCTGTTGCAGGAGGAGGGGTAGCGGCAGCAGTAGTAGTTGTTGTGACTGAACTGGAATAAAGCAAAGTCTGTTGTTTTTCTGGAGGGCCGCCCGAGGCAGCGCTTGGGTTGAGTTTGAAATCGGATTTGACTTGGACCATGTTTTGGGGCTCCGGTTCCACACCTGGCGTCAAATCTAAGCAGTAGAGGCATCTATTGACGGACTCACTTGTCTTGGACTTTCGGGTTCTCTTTTGTAGTTGGAGGTAAGCAAATGGGGCTGTCTTGCTCCAGCTTTGGACCTGAAAAACACGAAAGGAGGAAAAACAGAATTCAGCAGAAAGGCCTGGGGACGGGGCGAGGCCAAACCCCACGAGGAAATGGCATGTCCTGAATGAAACCTCCCCTTTAAAGGATGACATTATTAGACACTTAACTCGACACCCATGCTTCGTTATGAAACGATGTGGTCGGGCATAGTTTTTGGGGAGGAAAATAAGGGGGGGGGGGAATTCTGCCTCTGCCTACCAGCATCCGTCAGTATGTATTTGGCTAGCGTCCTGTCAGTGTGTGAGAGAGGGATGAGGGATGTTTGGAAACTGAAACAGTATTTGCTGTGTGAGCAAGAAGGAGACAGCAAGGAGCCTGGGCTCAACTGTTCTGTACTAAAGCTGCTTGGTGCTCTGAAACTGAAACTGAAACTCCTCTCCTTGTGTTTTGCATTTAGAAGAGATTTCTTTTCAGGTGGGGAAGGGGAGAAGAACTCCTTAGCATCAGAGCGTGTGCAAAATAATATACGAAATACTCCTGCTCTGATGGTCATTTGGAAAAATCCTTTCTTAGTGAGCACCTGGAAGCCAAGACGAACAGACGTGCCAAATATCAAGCTTGTAGGCTTTACGGTTCTGGAGCTTTTGTGATGATGCGTGAGTGGCATTTCGCTGTTATATATATAGATTCTAGTGAAAGCACTTACAGGTCGTCCTCGACTTATAAACTGTTCATTTAGTGACCATTCCAAGATACAATAGCACAAAACAAAAGGAACTTCTGACTGCTTTTCACACTTGAAAACCATTGCAGCAGCCCCGTGGTTTACGAGATCAGAATTCAGATGTTGGGCAACTGACTCACGTTTACGACGGTTGCTCTGTCCTGGGGTCACGTGATCCCCTTTTGCCACCTTCCGACAGGCAAAGTCAATGGGGAAACCAGATTCACTTAACAACCATGGTACTAACTTAACCCCTGCAGTGATCCCCTTAACAAACAGTGGCAAGGAAGGGCTCAAAATGGGGCCCAAAACTCAGCCAATATCTCAAGGAGCCCCAGAATTTTTGGGCTCAGTTATAAGTCGAGGACTCCTTATGCAAGTTTAAAATTCAAGCTGAGTGTGGAAAAAAACAAGAGTCTTTATCTGGAACGACGCGGCAAGAATGACATTTTCAGGCCATTCAAAAGCACTTCTCTTTATCCAGTGAAGCATTTAAGCGACCCATTTGGCAGCTCTGGAATGAATCACAGGGTTTAACGCTGCCTCCAAAATAGGCCTCTCGTGGCTTTTGTTCTCCCTCTTTCTGCTTAAAACCACGCAGAGCCTCTTGCACCAAAACTTTGAGGCCCCTCCTGCGAGGAAGGGAAGCACGGTGTCCTTGGAAAATGCCCTAAAAAAAGCCTATGCCAGACACCTTACTCAACCATCTTGATTTTTGCTGGATCGCCATCAATTTGTTTGCCTCCCTTGCAGGAAGAATCTGAAATTGTCCTCTAAAACGGGGGGGGGGGGGGGGGCAAACCCCTGGTCCGTGGACTGGGAATCGGGTTACAGCATGCCAGAAACCGGTCCATGCAAACAAGCGAAGCCCCATCTGTGGGATGCAGTTAGCATGCAAAACCACTCCCCCTCCGATCCACAGAAAAATCTCTCCCTGGAACCGGTCCCTGGTACCCCAAAAGTTGGCGTCTGCTGCACTATAATATAAAGATTGCAGACTGCTTCTGTTTATAGTTTTTATTTCTTTCTTAGTTTCTTAGCCGTTAGAGGTTAGTGGTTAGAGTGTAGTAATGCAAGCTACTTCTGCTGACTGCCGGCTGCCTGCAATTTGGCAGTTCAAATCTCACCAGGCTCAAGGTTGACTCAGCCTTTCCATCCTTCCAAGGTGGGTAAAACGAGGACCCAGATTGTTGGGGGCAAGAGGCTGACTCTGTAAAACCGCTTAGAGAGGGCTATAAAAGCACTGCGAAGCGGTATATAAGTCTAAGTGCTATTGCTAGTTTTATTTAGAATATTTTTATCCCACTTTTCAATGGGTGAAGCCACTGGTGAAGATTAGAAAGAGCCCATATCAAAAGAATTTTAAAAAGTGCTGCCTCCACAAAAGACACTTCTAGCCATAGCCAAGGATAAACTTACGTCGTTCATTACAAGCCCATTGGAACAGTCCTGATGTATGTATTTGGAGTGGGGGGGGGGAGTTTTCAGAATGCATGTCAAGACACATGTCCTTGGAAATAATATTCTATAAGCAAGAAACGGCTATCTCTATGTTCACCCTTCTGAAGTAAGGGCATCTGGAAGCAAACCTTTTAGTTAATGGTGTAATGTTTTTTGCAAGATCATATTTGTAAGACTACAGATTTTGCAGTCAGAAACTATAGACGGGGGAGGAGAGAGCATAATTTTAATTACGCATCACCGGTTATGCTAAAGTTATGGCTAGACACAGAATAGCTGTCATAAGGTCCTAGCTATATGTAAAGGACAGAAAACCTATTTAATATATTGTACGCAAGGTATAGACGAATGGTCTATAAGAAAAACCTTGGAAGGCTAGGAGAAGAGATGCCAAAGAAAGTGTCAGATAAGAGATAGCATAGCCCACAGCTGGATACGGGGTGGAGAAGGGGTCCTCCCTCATTTCTTGGGCTAAAGAAGATTGGAAGTGGAGGGATGGAGAGAGGGGGGGGAAGAGAAGGGAAAGGGAAAGGAAAGGAAAGGAAAGGAACTTGTCACAGAACAAGAAGGAAAGATTTTTAATTACTAAAAAAGGCTTGATGGTTTGTTTTATGAATCGCAGCCTCTCCTTGCAGTCCCATAAAGGGACAATTTTCTCTCAAACTGTACTCGACTCCTACTGAGACTGCAGATCAATAAAAATGGCGTACTTACGAGTCATCATGGTTTTCTGTTCTCTTTTATCTCTAAAGGATGTTTTTTGGAGAAATAAATTTTTCTATTGGGTAGAATAAGAAAGGAAAGGGAGGGAGGGAGGGAGGGAGGAAGGAAGGAAGGAAGGAAGGAAGGAAGGAAGGAAAAGAAAGAAAGAAAGAAAGAAAGAAAGAAAGAAAGAAAGAAAGAAAGAAAGAAAGAAAGGAAAGAAAGAAAGAAAGAAAGAAAGAAAGAAAGAAAGAAAGAAAGAAAGAAAGAAAGAAAGAAAGAGGAAGGAAGGAAAGAAAATGAAATGAAATGAAAGAAAGAAAGAAAAAAAGAAAAGAAAGAAAGAGAAAGAAAGAAAGAAAGAGGAAGGAAGGAAGGAAAGAAAAAATGAAATGAAATGAAATGAAGAAAGAAAGAAAGAAAAAGAAAGAAAGAAAGAAAATGGTACTTTCACACTTGCAAAATCCTGTCAATCTAACGTCAACCACGACACCAACGTCCATTTTGCAAGCCTCAAAGTACACCCCCTCTGCCCACTGCCCTTTACAGGCCAAGAAACTGGGGTAAGTCTCTTCTGAGCTTCTGGTCCCACCCAAGATCTAGCTGTGGCTCTGCTGTCTCTTATTTGACAGTTCTTTTCACCTAGTCTCCCAACGGCTTCCTTGCATACTATTACAGGCGTGAAGCCTCATATTTTATTCTCCCTAATAGCAGAAGCCAACACGGATTTCACAAAGGAGAAGACAATTTTTTTAAAAAAATGATTTTCACGTTGCTTCCATATTCCACATTATTAGAGCCTTTCCCCCACAAATTAATTGTCCCTAGTGAATTACTCAGATCTATTCAGAATCGGAATAGAGCTGGAAGGGACCTTGGAGGTCTTCTAGTCCACCCCCCGCCCCTTTCTCAAGCAGGAGACCCTATACCATTTCAGACAAGCGGCTGTCCAATCTCTTCTTAAAAGCATCCAGCGTTGAAGCAACTTCTGGAGGCAAAGCTGTTCCGCTCTCCTCCCTGCTGGGAAGTTTCTCCTTAATTCCAGGTTGCTTCTCTCCTTGGTTAGTTTCCATCCATTGTTTCTTGTCCTGCCTTCAGGTGCTTTGGAAATATTCTTGTAGCTTGACATCCATTCATGCCCCTACTAAACCAGCTCCGTTTTTCCCCATCTCTCTCTCTCTGTCCTGGAAACCTCTTCTCTCCATGCACGCCCTTGTGGAAGCACCCTGATACCTACTCTGCTCCTAGACGCAGCAGTGGTGGGATTACTACCAGTTCTGTGGACGTGGCTTGGTGGGCGTGGCAGGGGAAGGATACTGCAAAATCCCCATTCCCTCCCCACCCCACTAACCTGCTTTCCAGCTCCGTTCTCCTGGGCAGGGCAACCAAAGAAGAGCCAGCCAATCAGCTGGGACTCGATGGGAGGCAGAGAAGAGATGGGGGTGAGCCAGTCAGAGGTGGGATTTTCTGATTCTCCGAACTACTCAAAATTTCTGCTACCGGTTCTCCAGAACTGGTCAGAACCTGCTGAATGCCACCTCTGAGACACACCCAGGCGCCTTCCCCACGTTGGCCTTTCTCCTTCCAAGACCCTCTTTTGCTTCTCCCAGCCCAGCTGTCCCATAAGCCGAATCCTCGGCTGCTCTTTCTGTACCCCAAAGGTTCAAAGCCCCTCGCCAGGAGCTGCATGGTCTTCCTTAGTCTCCCCACTCAACAATTTTAACAGATGCCTACTTATTATTTATTCTGGAGCAGATAAGCCATAGGCACATGGGGATGATATGATATTAAGTGAAGGCAGCGTTTCTCAACTTAGCAACTTTAAAATATGTAGGGCTTCAACTCTCAGAATTGCCTAGCCCAGCAAGTCGCCAAGGTTGAGAATCCCTGGGTAAGTTAACAAGCGAAACAATTAAAAAGATTGGTGGCTTATACTGATAAGACTACAGGTCCTCCTGAATTTACAACCATTAATTGAGACCAAAATATATTGCTGTTAAGCAATACGGTTCTTATGTGAGTTTTGCCCCGTTTTACGACTTTCTTGGCTCAGTTGTTAAGTGAATCAATCACAGTTTAATTACTAAACACAGTTGAAGCCAAGTGAATCTGGCTTCCTCATTGACTTTGCTTGTCAAAAGGTAACAAAAGGTGATTATATGACCCCGGGACACTGCAACCATCATAAATGCGAGCCAGCCTGGTGTCCAAACTTTGATCATTGGGAATTAAGTGTGAAAAACTGTCAGAAGTCGCTTTCTTCACTGCCATTGTAAAAGGTAAAGGTTCCCCTCACACATACGTAATAGTTGTTTCCGGCTCTAGGGGGCAGTGCTCATCTCCGTTACAAAGCCAAAGAGCCAGCACCATCCGAAGACGTCTCCAAGGTCATGTGGCTGGCAGGACTAAACGCCAAAGGTACACAGAACGCTGTTTACCTTCCCACCAATGTCCCTATTTTTCTACTTGCATTTTTTATATGCTTTCGAATTGCTAGGTTGGCAGAAGCTGGAACAAGTAATGGGAGCTCACTCCATTATGCGGCGCTAGGGATTCGAACCACCGAACTGCAGACATTTCTGATCGACAAGCTCAACGTCTTAGCCACTGAGGCACCACGTCCCTTATTATAACTTTGAACGGCCACTAAATGAATTTTAAGTCAAGGACTACCTGTTTTGTACATTATTTTTGCACATTTTTTTAAAAAAAATACTGTTAATGAGCAAGAGTTGGTTTACTCACTGCTTCCTCCCATCCCGTTCCATTCGCACCCTCCAAGGGCCTTTCCTCTTGCTCGTTTACACTATTGCTGATGCTCAGAAGGGTGTAAATCTGCTTCCTCTCCCGCCTCTCGTTGGGGTAGACACAGCGAGTCTCCGTTTCCACATTTCCCGGCTTGGTCGCGGCTTTGTCGGAGTTGATTTCGCTTTGGTTCGGTCCAGAGGAATTCATAACAGTTGCTGTCACGGCTGGTTGCGCGCTTTCTGCCTACAGGTGGATGATGATGGATTTTACATCAGCATAAATGAACTCCCAACGAGTGTAAAAGAAAATAAATGTTTGGTGTTTTGATTGACTGGGTTTCTTTGATGCAGTCATGCATAGAATAGTCTGTTAACATTTGCCAGGAATGGTTTACTCCAACTTAATAGCCTTATAAGCTCATTCCTGTGTTAAATAGTGTTTATTTAACACAGGCTGCTACTCTTGTGTTTCATCTCAAGAAAAATGCACTTAGTAGAGTTTATCTTTATAGAGGGGTGTGAAAATAACTACAGACCCCTCACATCCTGGACATAAATTGTTTCAGCTACTACTCTCAAAGGGACTTTAATAGGGCATTGCACGCCAGAACAACTAGACACAAGGATAGTGTTTTCCCCTATGCCATCACTCTGCTAAACAACTCATTCCCACAACACTGTCAAACTATTTACTAAGACTACGTTACTATTATTCTTCTCATCCTTCCTATTATCTATTTCCTTTTCTATGTCAACTCATAAAATATTTCTATGGTCTTTTTAGAGTTGCCAACCGAAGGCAGGGGGGAAAGGGGTTTGAAAGAGCAGTGTGGCAGTTTGGAAATCAAAAGTGCATTCCATACATAGTTTTTCAGAGATAGTAACTAGGTGACTGAAGTTTCTGCCATGCAAAAATCTAACTGGAGAACATATTTGATGACTTTTGGCTATGGATGTGTCTCATTGGAGAAAATGAATTATGATACACCCAGGGGAAAACCAGGGGCAATGAATGATGTGTCTCAGAGTCGGCTACACCCAGGCAATGCCGGACATGTTAACTCCCAATAAATCCTTTGAAGTTTTGGAAGTTTGGCTCGAGACTCATGATTTAATTGGGGTAACTGCCAGAATCCTGACATTCTATTTATGACTATAATAACTTTGTTGCTTGTATCTTTACAATTTATATCATTTTCCTAGTATGATTTATGTTGATTGCTTATTTAGTATCCTATGACTATCACTAAGTGTTGTATCTCATGATTCATGATGAATGTATTTATGGTGACTATGATCATGATTTATCACTTATATATTTTATGTACAGAGAGCTTATGCACCGAAGACAAATTCCTCGTGTGTGCAATTACACTTGGCCAATAAAGAATTCTATTCTATTCTATTCACACTCTTCATACACACACACACACATACACACTGAATATGATAAAAAGTCAAATCTTTCACCCCCCCTTTCATTGTGGATGTGAATGTGGATTGATTCTCAAGAGACAACAAGGATATTCACACAAGCCCAAAGCTTTGAAGTGGTTGGATCTAGTTCAATTTCTTGTTTTGTTTCTCCTTCCTCATTTTTCCTGCTAGCTCAGCATTATTCCCAATGTTTGCTTGCTTTCTTTGTTTGTATTCCGTCTTTATTGGGGTGACATGAATGCAGTGTTCCAATATCTCAGGGGCTGCCCCAAAGAAGAGGGAGCCAAGCTATTCTCCAAAGCACCTGAGGGCAGGACAAGAAGCAAATGGGTGGAAACTAATGAAGGAGAGAAGCAACCTAGAACTAAGGAGGAATTTCCTGACAGGGAGAACCATTAACCAGTGGAACAACCTGCCTCCAGAAGTTGTGAATGCTCCAACACGGGAAGTTTTAAAAACAAGATAGTCTGAAGTGGTGCCTTCCAACTCTGTTACTCTATTCTATCCTTTATTTATTTTTTACAAGTAACTCTCCAGCTTTCTAGCTTTAATCACCTGACCCAACTGGCTCTCTCTTTTGCCCTCTCAGTTCAACGGGGCCTTTATGGAGGTAAGGGGCTCAGTCCCTCTTTGACCCTCCAAATATCTACCTTGCTTCAACATCCTATATACCTTATAGGATGTTGGGTACAAATGGCAACTCCTTGAATTTATGGTCCTGCTAGTTTGCACTGGGGAAGCCTATAGAGGTCCACTGAAGCTTGAGAGCGCCAGGGGCAGAAAATATGGAGGGCTACAACCCCCTCTTTCATTTTTGCCATAGGTGGCCAGACCCTTGCCTTTGAACTCTGGGCCTCTAGTTTAGTTTTAGTTTTACTTTACTTTACTTTTTACTTTACTTTTTACTTTACTTTTTACTTTACTTTTTACTTTACTTTTTACTTTA